GTAGGGGCTTAGGAGATAGGCTTTGAGGGTCTGGCTGGATTTGGCAGATGGTCACGGGAGGCCAGGACCCAGGTGCAGCAAAGAGCACTAGCAAAGGCTTCAGGCAGCAAGGGGCTTCTCAGGGAAGCAGCTGCTATGGTCTGGGGTGGGTAGAGTATGGAGCTGGAGGAGGAAGCGAGGTGGGGAGGCAGAAGGACAGGCAGGTTGAAGTCACCCCCTTAGAACCCCCCCACCAGATGTATTCCCTTCAGCCCAAAGGCCGTCTAGTGGTCTGGTCCCCCAGAGAACCTTCCGTGAATGAGAAATGTCCCAGCAGGGGTCTTTTTTTTTTTTTTTTTAAGATTTTATTTATTTATTTGAGAGAGAGAGAGCACATGAGAGGGGGGAGGGTCAGAGGGAGAAGCAGACTCCCTGCCGAGCAGGGAGCCCGATGCGGGACTCGATCCAGGGACTCCAGGATCATGACCTGAGCCGAAGGCAGTTGCTTAACCAACTGAGCCACCCAGGCGCCCCCCAGCAGGGGTCTTAACTAAGACTTCCTGGGCCTCAGTTTCCCCAACTATAAAGCGAAGGCCTTCAGTGATTTCCCAGGGAACAGGACATAGGATAGGCATCTCCGGGGAAGGCAGACAGGACAGTGGGACAAAGAACTTCGGTCCCGAGACAGCGGGAAAGGCCAATGATGGGCTACTGTGACTACCAAGCCCCTGACCAGTGTGGGGCTCGGATTCCTCTCCTGTGCAGAGCCGGTCTGCTGGAGCGACATCCCTGAGCACCGTGCAGGCCCTGGCACTGGGCCACCCTGACCCACAGGCAGCCTGCCCGCCCACTCTCCCGCCCACCTGCCAACCTGCCCCTCGGCCTGCATTAAGCAATCTCTATTATCGCAAATGCCTGACATTTTTGCCTGGTAATTACAGCTCCCACAGCCCCATGAGGATTAGGGCATGATTAGGGAGTAGGGAGGACTCTGGCGGTTGGAGAGAAATACTTGCAAATAGACGTGGCAGCCTGATTGCCTCCTCCAAGTTTAGGCTCCCGGAAGGGCTCAGTGGCCGGTGAGGATCATCCATGGGGCCTTGGAAAGCAAAAGGCCATCAGCATCGGTCACCTCCATCATCTCCTGGCCTCCCCCCTCACACTGCCTTTCCTGGGAGCAGTGCAGCAGCCCCTCAATGTGCCCCTCGTCTCTGCCCCACACCCACTCCCTGGCCAGGGGCAGAGATCTGAAGTCGAGTTCTGAGCAGACCTTGTCTCCCGGGAACACGTCCCAGCCCGGGGCCTGCCATCTGAGGCCTTCTCCCACTCTGTGCCTCCTCCCCTAATCCTCTGGGACTCCCACTCTCGGGTCAGGAGACTCACAGACTTCACGGACTTTCATGGTCTCTTGCTTCTCACCATCTCACCATGTCACCTGGAATGATCTTCCATCCAATTCTCCACTTGTCAAAGCCATGCCCCTCCATCAAGGCCTAGGTAAGACGCTACCACCGCCAAGGAGCCTCCCCCACCCCACCGGAAACTTTAAGAGCAAACACTTAGCAAGTCGTGGTGACATGCCAGGCCCTGCTCTACACACCTCACTGTGCACTGACTCACTTAGGCCTCAATACAGCCCCATGCGGTGGTCATTTTACAGAGGAGGAAACTGAGGCCCAGAGAGCTTAGGTCAGGTGCTCATAGTCACACAGGCAGGAAGCAGTGGAGGCAAGACTAGACTCAGGCCTCTGGTCCTGCTGCTGCTTCTTCCTCGGACACTGCTCCTGCCCATCCCTTCAGTACTTCCTTATGGGGACTCCCACTGTCACCCCCACAAAGTCACAAGCTCTAGAACGGAACTATCTCCCACTTTAACCTGATTCACCTGACGGTTTTGTTAAAGTGCAGATTCTGAATCAGGGGGGCATGGGTGGAGCCTGAGAGTCTGCATTTCTAAGAAGTTCTCAGGTGTGGCTGATGCGGCTGGTCTAAGGCCCACACATTGAGTAGCAAGGCTGGAGTCTACATGAGGGCAGACAAGTCCTCCTCTTGCCATTGTGAGGGCTTAGCCGAGCCAACGGCCTGGGGGAGCCTAAGACTGGTCCTTCACCCTCCCCGGCCCTCTCCAGAGCCTGGGCCCCCACCCCTAACTTCCCTTCTGCTCAGAAACAAGCAGTGGGATGGGATTCTGGATGCACTCCTGCCTGAGGATATCCCCCAACGCCCCCCCACCCCAAGCCTTGGCCCAGCTCTGACCCCCCAGGGAATCCTTGCGGTTCTTCTGGAAGCTGCTCTTCTTACCTGTGGGGCTGCCCTGAAGAGCCTACAGAGACAGTGGTGTGGGTGGCTCGGCCACCATTTGCACGTCCCCTGGCCATGGAAGAAGGTGAAGAAAGCACTGGGCTCGCAGTGGAAGAGGCCAGTAGCTACTGAGGAATTCTTTGAGAGAGGCGTCAGTGTGCTGGGATCCCTTCCCCCAGCCATGGGGCCCAGAGGTCTGCATCTCCTCTCCTAAAGCCAAGTGAGGGAGGCTTCCAGAAAGCTGTTTAAAAGCTTGCCATGTGCACCCGCAGTGTGGGCCGGTCCCTGATTCCCACCTGAGAACAGGAGACGTTGCTGTTCCCAACGGGTGGCTAAGCAGTCAGGCAGGCTGAGGGGAGAAAGGTGTGACCTCCAGAACTGGGAAGGCAAAGATGTGTGGGTGCTTTGCATGGCTCAAATGTGGATCCTGCAGAAGGAAGACTCGGGTCTTCTTAAAAGGGGAAGGAGGAGGCTGACTGCACCACCAGAAGCTGGGTGGGAGCAGGTACTGGGAGCCGCCATCAGCAGCGGACAGAGCGGGAATCATCCGACTCGGGAGAGGTCCCTAGTGACTGGACGCCCGCCTAGGAGCAGGGGGAGGGGCATGTTTCCACTAATGGCAGAGTACGGGCTTGAGTGGCCTTGAGACTGCTCTTAACTGCTGGAAGAGCAGCAGGATCCACTGGCTCTTTCCTCCAGAGACCAAGAATTCGCACCTCCCTGAGATCGGCTTGTTCACTAACCCAGCCCACGTTTGAGCACAGATGGGGTGGACACGCCCAGGTCGGTCCTGGGGAAGCCACTCAGCTCTAGGACTCTTAACTTTTTCTGGGGAATTCAGGAGGGTACTGGCCCAAGTCAAGTAGACCCTCTCCCTGGAAAATTACACATACGTACATGAACACAAAGATTTGAATATAATTTGGGCGGGAGGCTCTGGACCCGCTGAAGCCTACCGACAGTCTCCCTAGAAAACCCTGTGCCTCGGGTGGAGAACAGCCGCCTGCAAGGAGGCATGGGCTTCTATTTCATTCTTGCAGACCTGGTGGCCGTACTGTGGGTCCACTCTCGCTTCCGGACCTGGGAGAGGGTGGTGCTACGGCTTTGCTCATCTTGCGTCCCAGGAAGCCCCAGGCACCGGGTGTCAAACTGCATGTACCTGCATCTTGGCTTCTAGAAAAGCGTTTCCATAATTTGTTGGAACTGGGTTTTTCAAGCAAAGCTGGGAATATTTTTATTTCTCCAGCCCTGCCAACAGGACCCTGGTCAGGAGGTTAAGTGAGTTTCATTGAAAAGACACACTTTTCCTTCCCAGGCTGATAAACAAGCCTGCTACAGGGAAACTGACTTCCTCCCCCCGGTGCTCAGCTGGAGCGGCCTGTCTCTGGCCAAGGAAAACAAATGCATAAACATTTCAGGGACATATAGGAAGCATTTCTGCTGGACGCCTGCTGTGAATGGCCACTGGAGTTTACACAGCAAACCCCAGGGGGGCCTCCACACAGCTTGGACAAAGCACGCCCTGCCCTCTCACTTCCCTCCCGGCTCCTCCCTAAAGACCCACAATAATCCAGCCACGACTCATGCCCGGCCCACGAGAATGCAAAACAGGCCGTTGAGTTGTCACCACCAAATGCCTGGCACATAAAGAGAAGGGATGTCCTTTTAGCCAGGGCTGCAGAGGGAACACGGTCCCTGAGCTGCTTGCGTCCTGAGCACCGGAAGGGCACACAGAGGCTTGGGACCAGCCGCCAGCCAGTGTCTGCAACTCTCCTGGGCCTCTCCCTGGGCCAGGGCAGACATGGGAGGAGCTCACACCCCGGTCCTTTCGTGCAAACACCCACCTCTACGGGGCCCGCTGCGGAGCTCGGAGCTCAGAGCTCCAGCCCAAGCGCTCGCTGGGGGCAGCAGGGGCCGGCACGGGGCCACGCTGCTGAGCGCTCTGCTGTCATGCTGCTCCCGGCTCCTCACATGGACGGGCTCATGATGGGGGCTCCCCGAGGCCAGTGCTCCGCCTCCGGGTGCCCTTGCTCATCCCACTGTTGGGAGCCATTGCAGAGCACAGTCCTTAACTTCATATTCCTTTTTAAAACCAGTAGGATGTAACCCCATGGAATCAAGGATGCTGCAACTGTACAAATTTCCCTTTATGAGTGATTATTCTTCCCATTTGTACCTATCCCCCCCACCCCTTGCTCTGGAACATGAGGGCGTCCCCAGGCTCTGCCTATCCATATTTCAGGCAGTTCTCTTCACAAGTGCCTTACTGCAGCCACCGGGGGGGGGGGGGGGGGGGGGGACTATCCCTCTGCTCATTCTCATTTTATTGCCCTCTGTGGCCAAGAGGTCCCTCCCTAGAAGGTTCTTCCCCCATATGCACTTGGCCAGGTCCACATGACCATCCTCCTGGGGCCTCGCAGGGATCCAGGTCTGCCCTGAGACAGGCTCCCAGGTGGCCTGAGTTGCCTTACAGAGCCTGGTGCCTTAGACCTGGGGCTGATCCAGACAGGATCAGGCTAGACCAGAAGCCCCGCCAGGGACACTACCGGACCAGAGGGCAAAGCCTGCCTGCAGAGACTCTCATTAGGTGATGTCTTAGCTCACAGGTCTCCAGGGCTCTGGGGCCCCTCCACCATCACTGTTCCCACCCCAGCCATGAACCACGCAGACCTCATGCTTCCTTTGCCACAACAGAAGAAATGAGTCTCTCCGTCCTCTGCATGGGTTTGACTCCTGCTTTATAGAAAGCCAACTACCAGAAATAACGAGCCCAGGGTGCCCAGGCTAACCATATCACAGGCTTGAAGAGGGGAGAGGTGGCCCAGCAGGGAGCAAGGGAGGGATGCAGACAAAAAGCACAGAGGCGGTCCAATCCTTGGCAGTCATGGCTCAGCTGGGAGGGAGCCGTATAGCAGCACTCTGGGCCCTCATCACCGTCCTGGGGGCCCTTCATGGAAGGGGCAGGGAGGTTCTGGATGCTTCTGCAGCACTGTTGGCCCAGATGGGGGTGACACTCTTCTGAGAGACTTGTTCCTGAGGCCTGGGGCTCAGCTGTCACCCCCCAGCGATGAGTGGTAGAGCCATAGGCTTACCCACAGGAAGGGTCACAGGATGGGGTCTGAGCCGTTCCAGTTCACCGCTGCCCCCTTCCACCTACAAGCAGAGTAACAGATAAAGAGTTAGAGCTGCAGAGGCCCACACAGGAGCCATCTCTTGCCCTCACTCACCTGAAGGTCCTGTCTTAGTGGCTTTGAGGATTTCTGGTTCCAACCTCCCTACCTCGCCTCTCCACACACATATAAACCAACACACCAGGCCCTCACGAAACACAAACATACCTAGGACCCCAGAGAGCCACGGAGAAGACAGAAGTGGCAGGTCATTCATTCATTCATTCATTCATGCCACAAGTGTTTATCGAGAACCTCCTCTGTGCCTGGCACTGCAGGGCCCTGAGCTGATGGGAGTGATCCACACATATGTGGATCCAGCCACCTTCCAGGGGTGCCTGATGGTGGTACTTGATAGCACGTGGGAAGACCCAGATAGGGAGAATCCTGGAGTGTTCCAGGTGCTGGAGCCTAGTACAGGAGGGAGAGAGGTGCAGCCCAGGGTGGGAAGCAGGCAAGGCGGCACCACACAGGACCTGGGAGCCTCAGAAGGATTCTGGGCTTTGCTCTAAGAGCCACGGGAAGCCAGTGAAGGGCTGGGAGCAGCTCAGTAAAACACAGATTTGCATTTTTTTTTTTTAATTACTTGATGAAGTCTTAAGAAGCAGTGAGTTAACTCTATGTAGTCCAGGGCTAGATATAATTTAATACTAGTTCAATTCCAAAATAAAAGCTATTAGAGGTGTGACTATGGAATGACCCAACACTTAATTTTTTAAACATTTTTATTCATTTATTTATTTTTGAGTGGGGAGTTGGCAGAGGGGGAGAGAGTGAGCGCACATCCTAAGCAGGCTCCACATTCAGCGGGGAGCCCAATGCAGGGCTCAATTTCACGACACCGAAATCACGACCTGAGCCTAAATCAAGAGTCAGACGCTTAACCAACCGAGCCACTCAGGCACCCCCCAACACCTGATTTTAATACACGGCACACTAGTTTTCTAAAGCAACTCAGAGGAATCACATTTCTGGCGGAAGGAATATTCCTGCAAGACCTGGCCGTGGGTATCTAATACATATACATACATCCTGAGATCACAGGAACCCGGAAGCAGATGTGTATACCTCAACAGCAGTGTTAGGGTGCAGAGTTTGAAACTAGGCTCTCGAAATGCTTTTCACAGTGAGAGTCTTGGGGAGGGAACAGACTTTTTCAAAACCTGAAGTTTTTCTTCTGACTAAAGTCAATATGTTAACGGCCAACAGAGGAGGGAAAAAAAGAAACTTCCCTCGTTTTAACTGTGCTTCTGCTTTGGAAAGTCCAGTCTCCCTGAGGTGGGAACCGTGACAGGTGAGTGAACAGGGTCTCCCAGAGGAAGACGCTTGCACCTCCCAACTGAATGCTCAGAAGCACCCCGAGGTTTCAGTAGTGGTTGGCTATAAACCCAACCTTCTCCACCTTCATGAAGAACACAGACTCCCTCTGAATTTCTTTCTCCCTCCTTCCTCAGGCTTCTGCTCTTTGTCTTTCCTCACGTCCGTGCCTTGCTTCAGTTGCCGCATCAATGTCTCTGGCTTTTAGGTTAACAGGGACAGCCTTCCAGAGGCAACGGGACTCATACTCACTCTGCTCTTATCAAATTACTTTGCTCTTGATTACAGGCACCTTCCTGGTATCTGTAAAGACTGTATTTTCCTCTGTTGAATTTTTTGCACATCTTAGACCAGCCCATTCCTCTTCAAACGAGCAAAAAGATTTCTCGCCATTTGAAGACAAAAAATCTTGGTGGTAATTCTGTGTGTCTTGCTCCCAGGGAGAGGTTTGGTGTGGGAAATATTTGCATATTGTCCGTTTTGGAACAGTGGCTATTCCGCTGTTCTCCTAGCTCCACCCAGCACACTGTGAGGATAGACGGAACATGAGAATGGAGTGTTCATCACCGTCTAGACACAAGACACAGCCCTGCCCTGCATTGTGCACACCAGTCAATGTCCTGAGACATTTTTATCCAGTCTATATATGAACACTGAATTGCATCTTTTCGTTAAAATCCTCAGCATAAAAGGCTGAAATGGGTGGACAATAGAAGAAAACCTGCCAAGCCATGACTGTTACACTGTCTTAGGAAACTAGTCCTTCAAAACTAGCTCTGCATGTTCTTCAGTATCACTGATGATGCCCTGTGACACCAGGACAGCCCACCCAAAATGGGGTGGTATATGACTTTTTGACAGCCAACCCTTTCCTTCCTGCACAAAAGGCTGCGAGGTACCTTTCACACCTAAGCCATTTGACCCCTGGGATCCTTCTGGTCACAGATGTTCAGAAGCAGGTCTGGATGTGCAAAAAAGTTTGCACACATTCCACAGTCTCTTCTCCAGACTAAGTGTTGGAAAAGCTACCTTAGCAAGATACAACTCCAAACATAACCTGTGACAAGACACATAACCCTCTTGCACTCATCCACCGACCCTGCCTCCCCTTCATTGTTGATCGTGTCATGTGAATCGAAACGGTTGGCACCACTGTTCCCCTGGCTGTGGGGGATTTAAGTGATTCTGTGGTGTCCGGGTGCTTTCGACTATTTCCTGAGCTGCCACATGTCAGCACTGGGGCAGATCCAGAGGGATCTAGTAGGTGCTCGGGGGCTGAGCCACTTTGATGGACTCCATCGGTGTCAAAGTGTCTGTCACTGCTTGAACAAGAGGCACTGGGACTGTATCTGGAGACCACTCAACGTGGCTGGGAGAAGTCAGACCACGCCTCGGTCGCCGAGTGCCCACTGCCCGCTCTGTTTGGTGCTGGAGCCTGATGATGTTGCAGGGTGGCCCCTATAGGTCCAGCCAGTAGGGAATACGGATGCAGCTCTCAGTTGCACAACTGAGCAGGGTCTGGGGGTGGTAAGACAGGCTGGGAAGGCACTGTGCTGATCACAGGTTCCGAGGGACTAGGCTGACCTATTGCACCAAGTGGGTTAATAGTGCTTCAGCAACACGCAGCAACGTGACTCGGGGCTTAATCGATTCTACCATACAACTTGAGATTTTCAATTTTCTTTCTCTGTTCATCATCTTTTGCAGTTTTGAAGCATGTCACTAAAAGCTTTTATTATTCTATTACGATTTATAGGTAAGCATCAGCCTCTGTAAGTTTCTTATCCAAGTCTTAGACACTAGGGCTATATCCTGAATCCAGTCCCCCAGAAAGCAGCAGAAAGAAGACATGGAGGAGAGTGACATTCTGCCTGTAGCCTAGCTCCAGGCAGGCATCAGGATCCCAGATTGCAAAGGGAAAACCACTGCCCAGACCAGAGTGGTTTCTTGCCCCAGTCGTGGTAAGAATGGAGGGGTGGCGGTGGCAGGAGTCAGAAGTACACCAGACTTCTTGTTACCATAAGATCTATCCTCAGCCAAAACCCTTCTCCCATCCCTCTCCATCCCTCCCAGCCTTCACCCTCCCTACTCTGACAGGCAGAGAGAAGTTCCTTCTATGAGCTCCCAATCTGCAAACATCTCAGATCCCAGCAACATGGGATTTGGCTTCAGTGCGGGGTTGAGTCATATTTGTCTACCACTTGAGATGTCCATGCCATACCAACAGTCACTGAGTCGTACAGTTAGGTGGTGGGGGTGCTTAGTTTCAAGGCTTTTTACCGAGGTAACTAACCCACCCCATCCCAGCCAACAGGTGCCAATGGTGGGGAGAGTATTAGAAGCAGCAGAGAAAAGCAGTTTACAGTTGATGAAAATCAAAGCAGAGATGTTTTTAAAATGGCAAGGGCTGAGATGCAAGGCTGCTGTGTTTGTGTGGGGATGGATGGTTCCGCGGTAGGAAAGTCCACGGTCAATTACAAGGACAGTAAACAGAGCTCTGCGTATGCAATTAGGGGCTGGCAGAGGGAGGGCAGGGATGAAACGGACCCGTAGACAGTGCAGGAGGCAGAATGAAAGCTCGCTCACCCAGGGTTAGATCAGGAGGCTGAGCATGAGAGTCTCCAGCAGGCTTTCTCGACCTCGGACCACTGACATTGTGGGCTAGGTAATTTTGTTCTGGGGGCTGCCTTGTGCACTGTGGGGTATTTAGCACCCTCCTCCCCCAGCTGCAATACCCAAAAATGTCTCCCAACATTGCCAAATATTCCCTGGGGCACAAAATCACCTGGTTGAGGACCACTGGCTTAGGGGTTGAGCTCCGTGAAGATGCTGTGGTCCCTGGAGCTCGGGGAGGCTCAGCATCACAGAGAGGGCCCACCTCAGGGCCACAGATGAGGCCCTTCCCTCCCCGGGGCCCTAAACCAGAGCAGCGCAGTGGTCACCTGCCCCCACAGACTTTTGCATTGATGTCACTAATGTATCTTGGGGGGCAGATGCCTAGTAGAGCCTATATCAGCAAGGAGAAGGGCACAGGCCAGGTTTTAAAGCCCCCAAACTGACCAGTAGAGATACACCACAGAACTCTTGCTCACTGTGGATTTCCAGACAAGTATCATGTTGTGCAAGTGCCCCTTCCCGTGCTCCAGCCACTGGGATCAGAACACTCTGGAATGAGCTCCATAGGCGGTCTCTCCCCTACGGGCCTTGGCCTGTGCTGTGCCCTCCACCTGGAACAACCATCCCTCGGGATCAGATCCAAGATTCCTCCTTCTAGAAGTGTGCTCTGACCCCCAAGCAGCCTGGGGCTCCTCTCTCAGCACCATATTATCATGGGGCCTCCCTCCCCCACGAGACTGTGAACCCCTCAAGGACAGAGCTGGTGTCACTCGCCTCTGTCCCCTCCAAGACCTCAGTGCCAAAGCACAGGTTCCCAGGGGTGCTGCTAGATGAACACACCCCTCCCCAGCAGCTGATCCTCCAGGAGCCCCAGGGGCCCAGTGGGGAAGCCTGTCTCCATTCGCATTGCACTCTCCCTTGCCTTTGACCCAGGCAATCACAAAGCCCAGCCCATGGCCCTTATCCTCTCTTGTCCCTTTCCCTCTGCCTCCTCCTGGTTGTTCCTCCTCCCTGTGGTCTCCAAAGGAAAGGGAATGCTTCTGCCTCTCCTTTTTCAACCTCACAACAGCCCAGGGAAGGGACCCTTCTACCTCAGCAAGAGATGAGGAAACTGAGGTCTAGAGCAGAACCAAGCCTTCTGGAGGTCATACATCGTGATGGCCGCACAGCCAGGACCGAGGTCTCCAGATTCCCGTCCTTCTGTCACAGTGTGGAGTGATCTGCGAACCCAACCAGGGCAAGGAACCCAATGGGCAAGTGTGTGTGCAGGCTGCAGGACAGGGAATCAGAAGAGAGCGGCTGGGGCCATGGGAGCACCCAGGGAACCCTCCTTTGGCGGGTGAGGGGCACTGTGAAGAGGGTACCTGGGCAACAAGGTGTTAGCTGAGGTGTGAGGACCGGCGCAGTGGCGGGTGGGGATACAGCTGAGAGACCTGGGCACTGAGCTCCAGCCCCTGGAAGGCACTGTTCACAGCTGAAATGATATTTTCAATTTCTTGTCTGAGCCTCCAAACAGAAACATCTGTGGCCCAGCCCCAGGCCCTGGTTGTGTGTTCTTTCATCTTTCCTCTGGACCACAGACAACTGTTTCATTTTCTCCCACTCTGGCTAGGCTGGAAGCTCAAGAGGTCACTGTGTGTGTCTGGTTTGGAAATGACCACAAATGAGTTGTTTTTGCTGAGATGGTCAGAGAGCAGAGAGCAGCGGGAACTGGGGTGAGGAGGACAGACCCCACATTCCTGACATAAGCATATAGGTAATGAGACACTCCCTGAGGCCCAGATGCGAGTCACACTTGAGAGCAGAGGCGGCACGGGACCTGGGATCATTCGACTTAGGATGCTCTTCCCCAAAAGCAAAACCAACAGTCTCGTCTTGTGTAATGTCAGTATGGCAACAAAGCCAGGTGGTGGGAAATCACACTGCCCACTCAGTGACCTTCCCCTGGGCTGGGACAGCAAAGGCCTATGCTTCAGGATCTGTGCTGTTTGTGAGTCAAGGTATGGCCTGGGGCACAGAGCTCCACTCCAGACACCCCGATCTGTGAAAGGAAGACCCATGTCAGGTAGTGTCTTAAGGGCCTTTCCATGGATCTCAGCAAGCTGCCAGCCGGCCAAGGGTGTGGTGTGCTCCGTGCTGGGTCAGGGTGAGCATCAGAGGTCCTTAGGGGGCAAGAGAGCTAGGTTTAAGGGTAGGCAGCCCATCTCTGCCTGGATTAGGACAGAATGGATCATGAACTTGACTTCTATTCAATTGTGAACTCTCCGAGAGCAAGAACCCAGAGTCTTATCTGGCTATTTCTTCCATGGAGTCCAGCCCAGGGATTCCATGAGGTTGAAGTGATGGGCCCAGGGGCCTGGTCCATCCTGTGGTAATGACCTGAGATGTGGCCTGAGTTCAGGCCATGGCACCACATGTACCCCCTTCCTGTCAGGGCGGAGACCTCCAATGGGCAGCAGGGCTCATCCCCCCAGGAGGCAGGGCCTTTCTCCCCAGGGTCTTCACTGACCTTGAAGGCCACTTTCCCAAGTTTCTCCCTTTGAGCTGTTCGAGAATCTGGGATGAAAACAAAATGCAAAGCCTTTGTAATCCAACCCCTTGGAACAGGATTCCAGGAGGCTGGGCCTGCTGTTTCCCATTACAGTGGTATGTTATCTGATGGGTACTGGGAGGAGAGGGGAGAACCAGCATTCCCACTATTCACTCACCCACTTAGCTTTTCTGAGAATAATGCTGGGAAAAATTTCACCACATTAACAGTCCAGGTGGACCCACCATGGTGGGGCAGGTGGTAGAGGTCATAGAAGAGGCAGGCAGCTGGTTTCGGGAAAGTCCTAGCAGAGGATGGATACTCCTACCTGGGGGAGAGTGGGGGAGGGGTGGGGCAGCCCCCAGAGCCAGGAAGGAAGGACCCCTGGCCCGGAGTATTACAGCAGGCCAGATGCTAGAGGCTCAGCTCTTCACCTGACATCTGACTCACAAGGCAGCCAGAAAGGGCCACAGAGGGATAGGCTCTGCCCTCACCCGGTACCAGAAGTTCTCAGAGTGTGGTCCTGAGTCAGCAGCACCAGCAATTCCCAGGAACTCCCCAGATAAGCCAATTCCAAGGCCCCACCTAGCTCTACTGAACCAGAACCCGTGGGGGTAGGACCCACTGATTGCGCTTTACCACACCCTCTAGGGATGCCTGCTAAAGCCTGAGGACCACACTCTAGAGCAAATCTTCCCAATGGCTGAACCACAGACGGAGACAAGTGTGTCAGAGTATTGATCCCCACATCCATCGGGGGCTGGCTGGAGTCTGGGCCAACAGAGTCGCCAGGCCAGTTGTCCCTAACCCTGTGTGCTGCACAAATGTGATTTTTTATCTGTGTTTACAAAGGACTAGGAAGCATGGCTAGAGCCTTGCCCGACCCCCACGCCCTGAGAGCGAGCAGGAACAGAAAAGGGCAGGGCAGGGACTCAGCCTGGACCATACGCCCCAGGCCAAGGGATCGTTCCTGGCGATAGGCAGCGACCCCCGTTTCCCCCGTCATATCATGGCACACGGCTACAGCCGGGACGGGCGGGGCCCTGGGAGAAGGGGACAGCGGCCAGAAGAGGAAGAGGCACTCCAGGCACAGGCTCATGCTCAGACGACCCTGGACTGAGCTCCCCGACAGACCAGAGCCCCGAGTCATTGTCAAGCGCTGGACGGTTAGGGTGAGCCCACAATGTCCAACCCCAGGGCCCACTGGGGGTACTGGTGAGTCCTGCAGTGGAACCATTCTTGGGAAAAGAGGAGTTATTTCAGCAGGGGCTGTTGGAGAGGTCCTGGGTGGTGGCCCCCCAAAGCCCTTCAGAGACGGATGGAGGCCTTCGGGGCTGGGGAGGTGGGCGGGGCCTGTGCCCAGCGTGCGGTCCACGCCCTGCTTGGCAGGCCCGCCTGCAGGAAGGATGCCTTGTGGTCCCCGGCCCCATCCTGCGGAGGGTGCCAAGGCCAGCGTCACCTCCTTTTTCCACTGCTGCCCTTCTCTCATCACCTGGAATGAGTGGCCCTTTGTACATGAAAGGAAAGCAACCCGCATGGGCCTTTAATCCTCCCGACGAAAGAAAAGCCAGCACATGATCCCACAAGAATGCTTTGTCCCTGGCTTGGTGGGCAGGCAGGCGGATGGATGAGCAGATGGACGAATAGGTGGGGCCTAATGAGGATGTCCCAACGTCTCCTGCATCCCCCACCTGGTGTCCCCACTGTGGCCATGGCTCCAGTCAAGGGCTCACTAGCCTGCAGGTGGGCAGCACCCCGAGGCTGCAAGTGAACCCCCTGGATCATAGGTGGTCAGAGCCCCAGGGCCTCAGCATTATCCACGTCGCCCACCCCAAGCCAATCACTTCACAGTCAGGGACATGAGGTTCGCCTGAGGTCACAACGCAGCACAGGCCGCTAAGACAGAAACCGTGAGAGCTATTACAGAGCACCTGGCGGGATACCGGGCGCTCTCACAACAGCCCTGTGCTCGGTTCTCCCACTTTCCCAGTCTTACAGCTGATAGTGTGAGGGACACATAGGTGAAGTCTAACAGCTCATGGCCAGAAAATGGAAAGGATTCAAACTCTAGAACCCACACTCACCACATGCGAGTTCTAGCACTTCCCCAGAAGGCACTGGAATGCAGACCTGCTCCCTCCCACGCCTGCTCCCCCCACTGCACCCTGAAGCCTCCAAGTCACTACCCAAAGGCTTTGTGAAGGGCCCGCGTGAGGCTGGGAGGAAGGGGGCCAGAGCTCCAACCCCACAGCCCTCCGGAGTTCTGTTCCCAGCCCTGGGGCCTTGTCAGTGGGCTGATGAGTCAAGTGAGCCCCAACTCACCCCGAGCCTGAGCGGGAACAGGGGAGTCAAGGAGACCCCCCCACCCTGTGTCTGAGGCTACAGGGCACCTCTGCTCGGGGTTCAGAGGGCCCAACCCACACCAACAGAATGAGGGGGCTGCTCCCCCCAGATGCAGAGGGCGCCTCTGCTGCAGGAAGCCAGCTCAGAGCTACACCCTGGGGGCCACTGAGGAGCTAGGCCCTCGCACCTTCCCATCCTGCTCAAACACCTCCCACCCCGCCCCTCCCCCACCTGTCCCCCTACCTGTGCTTCCTCCTGACGGGGCCCCACAGCACTTAGCACACATGCTGGTGACTGCCATGAGCAAGGACGGAGCTTGGGAAGCACCTACTCACACCACCCCCCTGCCACGGGGCAGCCTCAGAAGCTGTCTGAGGACACAGTCACCTCACAGGCCACACACTTCTCCACTTGGGCCACAGAGACCTCAAAATGCTACGTACAAACAAGCCCCAAGGACTGCGTCTTTCCATTCTGCAGAGGTCCTGCCTCCCCAAAGACTCTTAGTTGGGGCAATCCAGAAACCCATCCTCCCTCCTGCGGGTACGACTACCCCCAACCCCCACACCTCCCAGCCACTCAGGTGAGCTTCCAGAGCCAGAGACAGACCTGACTCACCTGGTTCTGATGCAGAGCTCAAGGGGCGGGACGAGGTCGTTGTCTCTGTCCTCAGGGATGGTCTGGGTGGTGTCTGGGGGCCGGGAGAGAGAGAGACACACACACTCAGCCCGGGGTCTGAACGTGCTTTAAGAGACACACACACACTCAGCCCGAGGTCTGAACGTGCTTTAAGAGACACACACACACTCTTTAAGGCTGGCACCAACAACCCACCTCCTGGGACCTGACTCTTCTGACATCTGCCCCGCTGCTCATCCTGACTGGACCCATCCTTGTTCCTGCCCTTTGGTTCTCTCCTGGACCACAGCGCTCTCCTCACGGCCTCCCACCTCCAGTCTCCACCCCACCCTCCTGCTCCCCGTCAGCTACCAGCATAATTCTTTCTAAAAACACATCTGATCCCATCACTCTCCTGCTCCAAAACCTTCCATAGCTCCTCATTGCCTGCAGAAGAAAACCCAGACTTGTGGGCATGGTGTTCGGGGCTCCCCACTCTGTGTTCTCAACTTCCCCATACACCACCTCTAATGCTATCAGTTTCTCAAGGCCCTGCTCCGGCTCCTCCTGTAGGAGGACGCGCCAACAGCCGCTCTCTGATCCCCCGGTGCAGACACGGGTCTGAGGGTCTACATTGTTCTCTGACCGCCCCGAGGACACGCGAGGGCCGAGGACGCGGGCCAGTGGGGGCGGCGCACCAACGGTCAGCCGGATCTGCTCCTGCTGGTTGGCCAGGCCGTCATAGTAATACAGGTCAAAGAGCCTCTCGGCCCTCCAGTCTCGCAGGAGCTCTGGCTGCAGGCTGAAGAGGACGCTGAAGTGGCTCTCACTGCACACCACCCAGATGGGGAACCTCGGTGTCTTCAGGAAGCAGCCCACCTGCAAGAGGGACAGGGAGCAGAGAGATGCCTGTGCGAGCCCCAGGAAAAGGGCCCGAGCATCTTCCATCTGACCCGGGGTTGGGCTGACCTCAGAGAGACCTGCTGGGGATCACGGCCTCTGAGGCAGGCTGGGAGCCCCTTGAGCGGCTCACAGACATGGCTTGTCTCCCGGAGCCGTCCCCCCGCCCCCAGGGGCTTTCCCTCATATCCACGGTCCTGTGCCGCCACCGTCCCCCATCTAGAGCACTGGGACACCCCACCTCCCCTCCCAGGTCCTGCATCACCCAAATTACCCAACCAGGGAGCACGAATCACCTCCCTCTAGCTCCCAGGTGGGGGTTACGAGGTAGCAGGTACTAGGTACCAGGTACCCGCCTTCTCTCCTGCAGCGCATCACTGCCTCACCATGACGCGCCAGCCTGCCTCCTGCACACCGGACTATGCCCTTAGCACCAAGGGCAGGGGTTAGAAGTCAACATGAGCAAATGTTTGACGAGTGAGGGTCCTCATGCATGAAGTGGAACTCGAACTAGGTAGGACTTTACCTTGAAGACAGGTGGGCTTGGAGCCATGGGGAGAAGGGAGAGGGCGCCTCTGGGTGAGCAGTCTGTGGGCGGTGCCAGAGACATCCAGGGACTAGCAGGGCATTCGGGAAAGAGCATGGCGGAAGGGGAGGATAAGGAGCTGGGACTTTCTGATGAGAGACTTCCTTGGAAAGCTCCCTGCAGAGGGGTGTTCGGGGAAGGCAGATGACACTGAACAGGACCCTCAGTGGGGCTGCTCTTCAGGGCAGAGGAGTGGCCGGGGCCCTCTGCAAAGTCCTGCTCAGGGGGCCTGGCTGGCTCTGCCCCTCAGGCTGGCTGGCCCTCTATGTGCTCTCTCCCCGTCACCTGTGACTCCCTGGGGCAGCACCTCTCCCTACCCTGGGCCCTGGTTTATTCAGCTCCATGCATGCCACGGGCCAGGCTGATTCTGGCCTAATCCCCACCAGCCCCAGTGAGATGTTTGCATGCTCAGGTATTTACAGCCACAGCCTGCGGATTAAGGAAAGAATGGGAATTATTTTTCCAGTGGGGAGAAGGGCATATTTTCTCCCGCCTGTCACAGAAGAGTGGCCGAGCGGTCTTCCTGGGGCCCCTTGGAGCCCTCCTGGGAGCTGACTCTGGGCTGGGGTGTCTCGGACAGGGGGGTTGTGCTCAGGTACCTAGTGAAAGACTTGCCCAACAAACAGCTGCCTCCTCCAGGGAGTAGAATAGCGATCTTTACAATGTGTTCATTTTCCCATTTTCCAAGCGACCTGCCCCGCCCCCACCTGGCCAGTAGGGCCCTCACCCCGGCCCCTTGTGACATTAAAACGTAACCACAAAGCTCTCTCCTTCATGGATGTGGGGGAATTAGATGCTTTAGAGGACGTGGCTGGACGTGCCTAAACCCCACTGCAAACTCAGCTCCCACTCCAGGCTCAAAAGAGGCTTTTCTGGTGAGGGCCTTGCCTCGAACAGGGAGCCTTCTCAGGAACCCAGGGCTCGTTCACTGCAGGAAAAAGAGCCGTGCAACCTGCCAGGGGGGCAGGCGTCTACATAATCAGCCACCCTGAATTTTCCAGCAGAGGGGACAAAAGGGCAGCTTGCCATTTATTCAACGGTCAAAAGATTATGGGCAAAAAAAGCTGCCCAGAGACTTTATAAATGAGTTTTCTCATTCAGGAGCCCCCTCCAAGTGGGTGACATTTTCCAAAGATGAAATTCACTTCCTCTGGGTTCGAAGGTGGCTGACCAAAGGCCTGGGGGCGAGGAGGGAGGGTGGAGGGCACATTTCCTTCAACACAGTCTGAGGCTTTCTCCTGGCCGGGGAACAGATGGCACCATTAGGAATCATTTTTAAAGGGGGATTCTTAAATCTTTTGCAGGGGTGAGGTGAGTACCCCTACACCCAGCCGTGGCCTGCCAGCTAAGAAGCCCTAATTTAGAAGAACCAACATTTGATTGCCTGCAGAGTCGCCGTCTGTCATCTCTAAGGGTAACCGTCATTTGGCATAACTTATGTTTCAGTCCCAGGCACTACGTAGTGCTTGACGATGTGGGTACAGCAAGGAAGGAAACAAGACCAGTCTTGTCCTCGGGGGGCTCAGCGGATTAACGGGGAAGACGGAGAGTAAACAAATAATCATACAGACACATCTGCACTGCCCTGGCCCGAATCTAAGATGCCATCAGAGTCACCCTAATTGTTTGTTTCACGACGAAAGAAAGCCGGCAGTTAAAGTCTGACCAGCCAGTGACTGCGACTGGGGCTCAAAATCTCAGAAACGTTCAAATGCACACAAAGTTTGCATCTCAAAAGCAATGAATGTGACACTTGGAACCAAGAGGAGGCCTACGAAGGAAAGCAGTAAGATTCTGTGATGCAGAGGCAGACCCCCACCTATTTAGACGGGCTGATTAGGTCAGGAGAGGCCTCCCTTAGGAAGGGACATTTAAGTCAAAACGTGAAGGGAGGAAACAGCAGGGACAGGTCTCATAGGGCCTTGTAGGCCGTGCTAAGTTTGGGCTTTCAGTCTCTGCATTAGTTAGCTGGGGCCACCGGAACAAAGTTCCACAGACCAGGTGGCTCAAACAACAGAAATTTGTTTCCTCACAGTCCTGGAGGCTGGACGTAGAAGACCAAGGTGTGGGCAGGACTGGTTTCTCCTGAGGCCTCTCTCCTTGGCTTGCAGATGGTCGTCGCCTCCCTGTGTCTTCACGTGGTCTTCCCTCTCTGTGTCCATGTCCGAATCCCCTCCTTTTATAAGGACACTAGTCAATTGGATTAAGGGCCACCCTAATGACCTCGTAATCACTTCTTAAAGGCCCTGTTTCCAAATAGTCACATTCTGACGTACTGGGAGTTAGGACTTCAACGTGTGAATCTGTGAGGGGACATAATTCAGCCCCTAACAGTCTCAGAGGATGGGAAAACCACTGACAGGTGTGAAGCAAAAGAATGATGTGATTCAGTCTACTCTTTTAAAGATCACAGTGGCTTCACTGAAGGACTGAAAGGGGTTGGGGACAGGTGTCCAGACCGGCAATGCTGGTGGCTTAGACCATGGTAGAAATGGCCAGACCGGAGAAACAATTTAGGGTAGGAGCCACATGACCTCCTGATGGATCAGGCATGCTCCTGGGTTTGAAAAAGTGGGTGGATGGTGCTAGTTGCCCAGCTGGGGAAAATGGGAGGAGGATGTAGCTGGCAGAGCCCTTCCTGCCAAGCTTAGTCTTTGCTCAGGTCTCTTCATGAAGGCAGCAAGGTATGTACCCTGCAGGGCATGGGAGAAGCACTGAAGTTAAACTCCTGGTCCCATGCTGTCCCTTCCCTGGACTGCCGGTCCCCCCACCACAATCACCAGGAGCCAGGAGGGGCTGGCCTTCCAACTGTAGTCCTCAGTTGTGAGCTCTGGGTGGTGAGAGTGAGGTGCAAGTCCGATGGGCAAGACCAGCCCAGGGGGGTCATGGGGAGCGAACGAAGGTCCAGAACACACAGCCGGGCTGGGGCAGGGGGCTGGCTAGCTCAGCAGGGGGTGCATTTCTTGGTCCAGAGCTTCCTCTGCTTCCCCACAGGCACATCCGGAGTGTGGGTCATCTAATAAGCTCACTGATAGGCAGGACCTCCCTTACCCCCAGCCCCCACACACTCAGTGAGGGCCCCAGAACCAGGCTCCCAGCCAGAGGCTGCCGTGAGAAGCCCCGGACAGGCTGAATGACAGGCAGGCCCACTTCTGCCCTCTGCAAGAGAAAACCTAAGCCTTGTAAGAACAGCCCCACCATGGACACCATGCTCCAAGCTGTCCTAAATGTCAGATCTTCCCCATGGCCACACTGGTGCTGTCCAGTGGAGGGGGACCAGCTTTGAGTGTGGATGCTAAGCCTCCCCAGATTCTTTCCACCCCCAACACGGCCAAACATGTAGGACCAGAGGAATTCAGTGACAGAGGGGATGGCAGGTGGTGGTAAGGGAGAGGATAGGCTTTGTCGATATTGCCAGATATCTGCCTTCTCCTTCAGAGGCCCAGTCCTCAGTTAGCTCTAGGGAGGAGAGAGGGCCTGAGGGTCCTTCCTTAGAGAGCTTACAGCCCCAAGGCAGAGGAGCAAACACCCTCTTGTTGCAGAGAGATACAAGCCTCAGTCTTCAGCCAAGCATATAACAGTGGGGCGGGGGTGGTCTGTGTGGATTTAAGAATTTGGATCCTTGTAGGTCCTGAATTTCTTCAATCAGCATTTTATTCCAAGGGAAGGATGACCCCCGACTGATGTTCCCATCAACTACCCCACAGACCAAAGGAAAATAGTTTACTTTTAGACCAACACCCTCAATACAAGAATGAAACCAGGGCTCATGGTAAGCCTAGGGATTCCATGAGCCTGACCAAGGTTACCCTCTCTCAGCCCATGGAATTTTGGGCTGAATGCTTCCAGAGCCCACCCAGGGTCGGATGCTCAGGGGCCCTGGTGCTTCTCCTGGCCCACGTGACCACATTCCTGGGCTCCCTCCTGACACCGGCAAATCAGGGCGGGAGTCGTATCATTCTTTTCTCCCCGAGTCTGTGGAGCCCACGGGTCGGCTTCCTGTCCATGGGGGCAGGACCTGGAGATGCAGACGCACCACATGGCCCATTAGCAAAGGGACAATAGCCTGAACTTGTGATCATGCTGAAAGGGCACCATGAAACCAGCCAGACAACAATGTCTTCTCTGAAGATGCGAAAACCGAGGCTCAGAGAAGGTCGAGCAGCAGGCTAGGGCAGAAACACGGGGCCCGGTGCCAACTGCCCACTATGCAGAGACATGTAGTCACCTCACCCTGCCCAGCTTCGCCAGGGGCCCAGCCCTTTCCAAGACCCTGGCTGCAGGGAGAGAGGAAGGAAAGGGAGCAGTGCACTGGCAAACAGAGCGAGTGGCCTGTTAGGGTTGAACTGTGCCCCCCCAAAAAGATACGTGGAGATCCTAGCCCCCAGAATGTGACCTTATTTGGAATTAGGGTTGTTGTAGATGTAACTAGTTAAGATGAGGTTAGTGGAGTAGAGTGGGCCCTTAGCCCAACATGACTGACGTCCTTATAAGAAAAGGAGACACACGGCAGAAAGATGGCCACGTGACGACAGAGGGAGAGATCGGAGTGATGAATCCACAAGCCAAAGAATGCCAAAGATTGCCAGAAAACACCAACAGCTAGAAGAGATGAGGGTGGATTCTCCCGATGGGTGTCAGTGGGACACAGACCTGCTGGCCTCTTGATTTTGGACTTCTGCTATGAGACCTTCTGCTCTAGGACAACTTCTGTTGTTTTAAGCACCCAGTTTGTGGTGTTTCACTGTGGCAGACCTAGGAAACTGACGTGGTTCTCCCTGTCCCTGGAGAAGACCCCATCCCCCCCCACACACACACACACCCCAACTGCATCTGCTCTGACCCACAGTCACACTATAGATCCCTAGGAGTCCCTTTGAAACAACCTTTCCCAAAACATGGTATCGGCTGGCTTTGGGAGTGAATTCCACACAGTACTCGATGGCAGTGAAGCTATACTTCTTCCCAAACCCTCTGGGATTGAGACTGGACCAAACCGGGACTGGCTCTGGGAACTGGAGTTGACCTTCCCTTTCCCTGCCTTCCCTCTCTCCAGTCCCAGGGAGCCGGGCCCCTCTGTCTCCGGAGCCCTGCACCCCAGTACCTGGCACACATTGTAGTGCTCAAAGAGAGATAGGAACCCAACATCACTGCGCGCAGCTATGCCTTTGAGCAGCGTGATGTTCCCGTTCCCAGAATCCAGCTCTACCACGTCATTGAAAACATTGGACACGGCTTTCCCGGTCAGGAGCAGATTGACAAGTTCCTGTAGATGAAAGAAAGGGGAAAGGCTTGTCCAGGGGAGATCGGGGAACAAGAAAAAAAAGGGCGGAAAAGGAAGGAAAGCAAGGAGGGAGAGAGCCCCAAATCACAGGGGGCTGGGACTTGGAGTTCCCACCAGCCCTCAGGGGAAGCCGTCAGCCGCTCCTAGCCCAGCGACTCTAGGAACTCATTGTGACCTTGATTCCACGGGCCCCCGTCCTGAGCCCTGGGTGGTGGCAGGGGAGTGGGGGAAAGATGGCTCCTGACCTTGGGCGTCCGGGCCTAGGGCGGGGATCAGGTCTGTCCCTGCGCGGCTGAAGCTCAATGTAGGATGTGACTGGGACTATAAACATGTGCGCACGGAACCCTCCGGGGCCAGGCAGGGCACGGGACCACATGGCTGAGTCAGAGCCACTTTGTGGAGAAGCCACATTTGGGTGGGTCTTGAAGGATGACATTTTTTTTTCATAAGCTTTTTCATTTTGAAATAATTTTAGACTCAGAAGAATTTGTAAAAATAGTACAGAGAGTTCCTGTGCACCCTTCGCCCAGCTTCCCCCAACGATAACATCTTAACACAACCAGCGCCCATTATCAACGCCAGGAAGCAGACAATGGTGCGAACACCAAGAAAGCAACTCTAGGTCTTACTTGGATTTCACGGGAGGATGGTGGGGTCTGGGAGCAGGGAGGGAGAGTGGAGGCCTGCAGAGGCAGACAGGCCGAGGTGAGGAAGCCCCAGTCTGGGGTCTAGATCTGTCCCCGCCCTCCTCGGCCCGGCGGCATCACGCATCCAGGGGCCGTGTGACTTGTGCTGCACAGTCGACAGGCCGACAAGCCTGCTGACCCCAGAACCTGGAGATCAGTGACCCTCTGGCCGTCTCCTTCAGCCAGTGCCTCCTGCATTGAGGTGGCAGGAAGGGAGGGCCCTTCCTTCAGCAGGGCATCTAGGGGTCCAACTCCTTGTGAGGAGTGGGGACCCTGGGGCTCCCAGACTGGAGAGGATTTCCCCAAGCCCCACAGCTAGTTCATGACAGAGCTGGATTTCCACCCACATTTTCTAGCATCCTGCCTGGTGTCCTTCCCTCTCCTCTCACCTGTTACCCGCATGGCACCACCTGGCTACCCAAGATCCCAGGGGAACCCCGGCCGCTAAGTGCCTGCAGTACCACCGAGGAAGGCTCCGAGTAAGCCCAGCCTTAGTGCTTGGGCAGGCAGCACCCTCTGCCTGACCCACCCCATCGAGGCTGGCGCGCATGGCAGGCCAGCAGGCAGCGATGGCCCCACGGTACGTGGGAATGGCCAGGAGAGGCCTTTCCCAGCATAAACTTTGGAGGGGAGAGTTCACAGAAGTGTTTTCCCCTGAATTATAAAAGCCAGGCCCCGGTGAATAAATCCCTCCGTCAACACCAAGACCCCTGCCCTGGTCATAGTAAAAGAGGCTCCCTCTGATGGCCACAGAGGGAGCCCCACTGGAGGGAGATAGCAAAGGGGCCCCATTGTGTCTTTGCAGAGGAAATGAGAAAGAATCTGGAGGAAATGTCTGCTCTGAGATACTGCACCTCAGGGGCAGCGGCTGCTAAGAAAGGCAAGGCCTTTTTCAGATGGGTTCGAGTTTTCCCATCTGGTTTTCAAAGGGGAGAAAAAGGCTCCTGTTCCCCATCTGTCTCAAACCCTCCTCAGCACAGGAAGCCCTCTTGAAATGGGGGAGAAAGGAGAAATAGGCTGCTCCCTGCACCAAGACTCAAAATCACACAGTGGCAAAGCTCAGTGGTCATGTAGCCCCTTGCTACTCAAAGTGTGGTCCGTGGACCAGCAACATCACCTTCTCCGGGAAGCCTGTGAGCAATTCAGAACTTCAGGCCCCAGGCCAGACCCACCGGATCTGAGCCTGCTCTTCAACAGGACTCCCGGGGGATTCATGGGCACATCAAAGTTTAAGAAGCACTGGTCTAGTCCAAACTCCTCCTTCTACAAACGAGGGAACTGAGGCTTGGGGAGGGGAAGATCAGCCCAGCTTGGGGAGGGTCAACTGCCAAGATGGTGCCTGTGCCGTGGCCCTCACCACCCCAGCTGGCCCAGAGCCCCCAGTCCGTCCCCGGGGCTCAGACTGGGGGCTCTGGGCTGTGCGGCCCCTGGCTCTGTCCTTGCAGTGCCAAGCACACAGATCGGGCACGGCAAGCTCTCCAGAAGCGGAAACTGAACTGAGTGGCCTTTCTAGGTCTCCATGACAGAGGTTGGCACATGAAAGCTGCTGGGAGAGGGCTGGCAGGGGCAAGGAAAGAAGGGGGGGGGAAGGGAAAAAAGCACTCTGCTGCCCGGCACCCCACGGCACCCCCTGACCTGGGTGCAGTATCCATGCGCTCCAATCAGGTGGCTGGTGGGGACATCGAAGTCCTGGCGGACACTAGAAGACACAGAAGGAGTAGAATTAGCATGTCTCTGCCTGACTCAGGCCTCCCGGGCAAACCTCTCGGGGTGACCAGGGGCTCCTCTCAGGCTCCAGGCTGAGGCCCAGAATTCTGGATGCGGGGGCAACCCAGGGCTCCGCAGCTAACACTCACTCTGCTCTGGGCAGTGGCCTCCCCTCTGGCTTCACCTGGGCCACTACCGACACGCAGAAGGATGGCGGAAGCGTGATACAGCGGAGAGGCCCCTTCATTTGCAATCCAGCACCCCGAATCCTCACTCCGACTGCCGCTTACCAACATGGGCACGGGGACATCCCCTTCCGTCTCCGGGCCTCAGCCTGTGAGTCTGTTCAATGGGCACAGACCATGTACCAGGCCCTGTACACGCATGGTTCCCCAAATGCCAAGAGAAAACCACTGCTCAGAGCAGCCCGACTTGCCCAGGGCATGGGGCTTCTGGGCTATGGAGCCGGTGGGGGACTCTGCGGCCCGTCTTGGAGACCTGTGCTCTCCCGACCCCAGGTCACAGCAGCTCTACCCTCAGAAGGGGGTCCCCTAAAAGGCATGAGGTGAAAAGCCCCTTGGCCGAAACACATCCCTCAAACCAGAAGAAACCGATTTCTTAGGGCTGTACAGAGCTGGGGACCAGGAGTCACTGTCAGGGTGGCTCTGTCATAGGGGAGATCAGCACCAGGAGGCAACCCCAGCCCCCCATGAATCTCAACACTCTCCGACCATCTAAGAAAGCCCACCACCAGGACACAATTCCTTTTCCCTTCCCCCACGCAAATGCTTCGGGAGACCAAGTGTTCTTGTCGACATGAACGGTGGACGAGTGAACAGGAAAGGAGCCGGCATCCCTGGAACGCAGCCCCGCACCCGGCGAGGTAAGGATTACTATATTTTATAGACATGAAAAGACTCATAAGGGCATCGCTGGGGGTGATGGGAGGCTGTGGCACATGCCCTGGGGCATGGGGCCCGGCCTGCCTCCTCCGGCCCTACCCCAGAGAGGCCACAGACAGACAGCCCAGAAGAAAGGGCTCAGCAATCACAATGTTTGTTTTCCCTTTTAGTGGATGAGACGAGAAACCTGGTCTCAATTTTAGGATTTAAATCTAAGATCTGCCAGAAGTCCACAAACCTAAAAATCCCTGGTCCCCGTATCCTTCCCAAACGAGTTTAGACACTCAAGCTCCGTGACCGATGCCGGAGAAATGCTTTCTTGTGGTTTTTAATAACCGTGGCCAAATGGGGACGGTCTGTGGTCCACACGGGAAGATGGGCCACGTTGGCACTGCAGGGGCCCGGCGGAGAAGCACGGAGGCCTGGGGGTCCTGGGAAGGCCCCGGGAGGCTCACCCACCAGAGACAGCCCAGCAAGCCTGGGAAGGACCCGGCTGGGGCGCCAAATGGCCGAAGGCAGCACTCGACTAATGCTAGCTCAGGCAGAAGAATTGATGGAAACGCTCTCTGCTGCATAAACGGGCATCTTCTGAAGAGAAGAAAATAACCTCAAAGGAGCCCTGGGTGGACTGATAAGCATCGCTGGTCCCGAGCCAGCCCAAAGCTTTCAGAAGCGGTCTGATCTTCATAATCTCACAGCCTCGTGCTCACCCAGCGGGTTTGAGAGCCTGCGTCAGCTGACAGCAGAGGGACAAGCAGAAAGGACAATGGGAGGAAATGGTAATTGCATCCTTAGGTGCAAACACGATGGGAAATTCAGGAGTGAGCGCGGAGCTTGAAAGGGAGGAACGTCTGCGTTTCACATTAGGGCATTCGCGAGACACCAGGGAGCAGCTTACACGGCTTAAGAGATTTACAACTTTGGCAAATCTAGATGTCCAGACCTCCCTTTAGGGGAATTCCCTGGAGAGCGGAGTGTGAGGAGTCCTTGAGCAAAGGAAAAAGGGTAGGGCTGTCACTAGGTTGGAGTTCCAGCCCCAGCCTGCCGTGTGGCAGTTAACCTCTCCTCTCCGGGCCTCAGTCTCCCCTTTTGTGACATGAGGGCCTTGCACAAGATGCATGGTGTTATGGGCTGACCTGTGTCCCTCCAAATTCATATGTTGAAGCCCTGACCCCAGTACCTCAGAACGTGGCTGTGTTCGGAGACAGGGCCTTTCAAGGAGTGATTTAAGTTCCCCGAGCCCATTCGGTGGGCCCGAATCCAATCTGACTGGGTCCCTGCAGGAAGAGGATGCGGGGGATGCGAGCTCGCAGAGGAAAGACCATGTGAGGACACAGAAGCAGGCTGCCACCCACAGGCCCAGGAGGGAAACCAACCCTGCTGACACCTTGATCTTGGACTTCCAGCCCCCAGAACTGGGAGTTTCTGCTGGTTAAGCCAGCCAGGCTGTGGTGCTTTGTGACGGCAACCCTAGCAAACACAGACCAAGCGACCTCCAACGTCTGTTTAGGCTCAGAGCTCTTTCTTCAAATGTCATCTTCTAGGCAAAAGCCAAATAGATAAGACATAAAAGCAGAACTGCTCTGGCCAAAGGTGTCCCATCTTTCTCCCTCTTCCAGCCCCTGTAGCCCCTCTGGGGAACCCCCAGGTCTCCAAGGTCATGCAGCGTCCTGGGAGCAGGGGCTGAATCTGAGGAGGGGTTGCTTGGGCTCTGAGGTTCCCACACTTGCTGGGCTTCTAAGCCAAAAGCTGCGAGGAGCCCTTCCGTGGGACCAACACCATTCAGTCCAACGGGCAGGCTGTCCCTTCCCCAGTCCACCTGGGGACCGGACAATGCTGGGCCCTAAAAAAATTCTGCACAGCCTGGGGCCAGCGACCAAGCTAGGTGACAGAAGCCAGGAGGAGCCTCGTCCTGATGAAACCTGCACCCTGAGGCTATTGTGCACTGGGGACCCCCTTTGGGGAGCAGGAGCTTGCCTGGATTTGGGATTCCGGGAAGCACAGGGTGGGAGGAGCCTGCATAGACTTGCCCAGGGCAAGGAAACTTATGAGGAGTGGCTTGGCCCTGGCTGCCTTGCCACCGACCTCCTCAGCATTCTGGGAGCCAAGGGCCAGAACCTGGACCCACAGTCAGAGTGACAGCTCACCGCAGAAGTATCCAGAGGAAGAAGGACAGAGAGCTCTGCCCAGGATGCCAGCAAGGCCTGCTTCTCCCGGCTGTGCCCCCATCGAGAGTTCCCAGAGACCCCGCACTGTACCAAGAAATGGAACGAAGAGGACGCGGGGGCTGGCAGAGACCTCAGGGCTCAGCAGTTTGCAGGTGGGAAAACGGATGCATAGCGAAAGAACACAAGTGGCCTGGGGCTAGGGACAGGTGCCAGGCCAGACTGAGCACCTGAAGCTGGGATAGAGCGCCTTTGCCTCCCTCCAGTCGCTCCTTGTCACGTGTCTCCAAGGGGCAGACGTTCCGCCACTGAGCAGCTTACAGGGCTTGAGCCCTGATTCTGCAGAACCTCGAAGCTCACTTTCAAATCCACCATCCTCTCTAAAACCTTGTGAGACCAGAAGAGCAAGAACTGCCATCTCCATTTCACCAAGGTTCTACTGAGGCCCAGAAAGGAGAAGGGACGTGTGGTCTTGTGATCATACGGTCAGCAGGCCAGGACTGTGTCCCTGGCGCCAACATCACACAGTGTCCACTGCGGCCTGAAACATGTGATGCTCAGCCTGGCTGGCCAGCCCCACACAGGCCCTGGAGCCTTGAGGCCCCACGCCGGGTCCCACCCTCCCTGGCCAGGGCACAGCTTGTCCCTTCACCCTAAAGCCTCCCCAACGTGCATCCAGACATGTGAATCTGAGCATCTGGTATGGAAGTTTCTGGATAAGAAGAAAGTAGGTCTAAGTGGCCCCGAGACATGGTTCCAGTCTACCGTCAAAGCCACTCACCTAAAATCAACGTCCGCGAGGTGGGGTCAGTGGCTAGCTCGGCCTCAGACTGGCTGAGTAACCTCAGGCAAGTCCCTGCCTCTCTCTCAGCCTGTGTCTTCACTCAGAAAACCAGAGGACTGGAGCCAGGGGTCTCTGGGGACCTTCTGGGATGTGAACAAGTGTGCCTGGGTCAGGACTCTGATGTTTAAAACATCATGCCTAAAATAGTTTGTAATTAACCCAGGAGGATCGGGCCAGCCACCTCCCCTCCACCTGACCCCAAGGCACCAGGCCCCAGGAGCACCACCACACCCAGCTCTGGCCAGGCCTCCCTGCTGCCCCCTCCCTTGGGAATTCTACTGACTTTTGAGGACCAAGCAATAGTGAGAAGAGCAGCTGTGGAACAACAAGGAGAACCTGGGCTCCAAAGGCAGGCGCCCCTGGATTTGAATCCAGTCACTGCCACTTACTGGCTGCTCCCCTCTCTGAGGCTGCCTCCCCCCTGCAGTAGGGGTGGGACGATGCCTCCCTCTACTATAGATTGCTGGGAGAGCAAGGTGAGCTATATTAAGCATCTGGCATTTGGTAAATGTCACTTCCTTTTTCCTACGATAACAACAATAATAACAACTAAAAACACAATGACCAAGAGGTCATGAATCCCGCAACCTCAACGGCTCATGTCGCGGCCAAGAACCCAGAATAAATGGAGGCCTGCGAGCAGTCAAAATGTAACTATGAATATCTAAAAAGGACTTGGGTAGAGCGGATATGGACTGTTTTCCCAGGAAGGCCTGCAGGGAGTGGGCGATGAGTCAGGACACCTGCATGGCAGGCCCCCGCTGCCACCTGCCCTGTGTGACCTTCCGCAAATTGCTTTCCATCTCTGAGCCTTCCAGGTGTCATCCCTTGATGGGGATAACAATGTGCACCTCAAAGAGCTGTTGCCATAAGGGCCCCGGCCTTTACAGGGCCTCACAAATAGCACAGAGCTCCATAGGTTGGAGGGGCTGGCTGTGAATCTCCAGGCAGGGGCCGGGACAGGAAGGGGCGAGGTGGGGAGGACCCCAGGAGGGAGGGCAAGGTTCACGGATGGAGAGAAAGGAGCTGGCCTGGAGGAAGGAAGGGAACACAGAAGTGCCCAAGCCCTTCCCAAGCTGCC